TTTCCCAAAAGTATCATAAGAAAGCATTAAAGCTTTTGGGAACGGCAGCCCTGAACAATGCTTATCAGAGGACAGAAGGACAGAGTTATTTCACAATAAACAAACTGAAATTGTAGCGTACATAGTTTGTGCAATTACAGTTATTTAAATTGATCGTTGAAAGATAATATAGATCATGTTCTATTCTGTAATGTCAGAATAAAAAGGTTGCATTTTATGCATGCAACAGCCGGTCACTGGCAGTCCCATGCCAGTGATAATGAACTATGGTTTTACTAAAGTGACCATAGTTCAACTGTATTATTTATAGATTTGAATCATGTGTAAACAAAAAACATATCTGAACCATGTGTAAACAAAAATATAACCTAATAAGTTACAATTAAGGCGTATTGAATGTTAAAATGTGTTTTAAACAAAGCTTATCATTAACCATTTTACTCTTAGTAATTTATTAATTTCATAATTTAAAAGTTTAGTTCAGAAGTATCGTATCGATATCGACGATACTGCCTTGAAAAATATCGGTATCGTATCGAAAACAAAATAAGTGGTATCGCCCATCCCTACTAAGTAGTCTAGCAAAAGTGTTTGTGGGCAGGTCAGACTCTGTTCGTATTTCGAGGGCAGGCGGGGATTATGCAAATGTGTTACCCAGTGACGTATACCGGTAACAGGCAAATATTAAAAAATATAACGACTCCTTAAGGCGATTCAGAATCGACTCTCTCTTTTGAGAGACAATGGCTGTGTCCGAAATCGCCCCCTACATTCACTATTCTCTACATTAGGTTACTAATTCAGTTCACTAGAAGGAGTGAATGAAAACGAGTAGTGAATTCTGACACTGAGTGCACCGGAAGGAATGCCGCTTTTGCATAGTTTGTGCTTGCTGTTTATTAATCATTTGAAACTAGCAAACTAGCAGCTCCAGTAGTAAGATTAAAGGATTTATCTTGAACTCTGTCACGGAAATTATGTATAAACCCTAATCAAACAATTTAATAATTAGTTAACAATAAATTTATACCAGTGTTGTAAATATGCTGTATGCCATGGATGAGCGCTTTGTAAAAATGAACGGATTGATTGTTCAGCTGCAGGCGCCATCTTCTGGCGAGATGCGGGAACTCATTCGGCGCGTGACTCTCACGGTGCATTATGGGCATTCTCTAGCCGTTGAGCGTGCACCAGTTGTACACTAATTTTTGCAGTGCATTGTGGGATTGAATGAGTGCACTCGAGAACGTCCACTATGGTTTCGGACACCACTAAAAATGACTGTTCCCTCAAATAGTGCCCTATTTAAGGGTATAGGGGGCGATTTCGGACACAGCCAATATCTTTATTTATCATGCACTGTTTTTTGATTAACAACTTTGCAGATTGTTTTCATTTAAGGATAGCTACGTTATAAACTGCAAAAGAGATATTTTTCAAAAACCCATATGACCTGCTCTTTAAGCCATAGTTGTACCAGTGCTACAGTGAATATGTAGGATACATTGGAACACAGAATTCATTTGTTTTATGTATATACTGGGAAGAAAATATTGCTTTAATCTTGAATGTGCTGCATATGACTGCAAGGATTTAAAAATATATATTAGTAATAGTATGTGCGGTTCAAAATGCTTATTTTAATATTTGTTTCATTACATTTTTTCTTTTATTAAATGCTTGAAATTATTTGTTTTTTTTATCAATTTGTCTGTCCTGGCTCATTTATTAAAACCTTTTCTTTATTGCATATATGGAGTGTTTTCACTTGTTGTTACCATAAATAGCAACTAACAGAAACTGTTATCAGAGTTTGAGGTATAATGGCTGGTACACAGTATAAGGTGGAGTACATTAGACATTTGACAGTTGTGTTTGATTGTATTCATTATGACTGTGTTGAAAACTGCAAATTAGTTATTAATGTTTTGCATTGTATAGCATTGTTTTCCAACAAAAGTGTGTTTAGGAATTAATGGCCTTACATTATAGCTGAAATCTATAATGCAACTCTTTCTTCTTTTTGTTTTCCAATTATAGTTTGTTACATATTTTCTGTTTGTAATGAAACAATCATTTTAATGAACAAGTTGTTTTGTAAAGAAAACATTTGATGAAAGATACTAGCATTTATAGCACATATAAAAATGCATTGCAAAACATAAAAACTGATCGTTCTTTTGCAGTGGGGCTAGTAAAAATGTTAGCAGGTAAAAATCTATGCTGGCCCAAATAGCCTACAATAAAAAAAATGTCAAAATTTTTAGAATATTTTGGAATTTGGGACCATTTGCTTGTGATTGATTGATATATTTTTGAAGTTGGAAGAAGTGTATAAAAATACATAAAAAATATGTCACAGTGGTAAAAAAAAGGTAAGTGGTAAAAATCACTTACCTGTAGGATAAAAAATATATATGTATATATAAAAAATATATACCCTTTACTAGTTTCCTAGTGTTGATTGGTGTTCCTTTAGAACATCAAAAAATAACTATTAATCTGGCCAACAAAGTTTTGTTTGGTATGCATTTGCTCCTTTTCCTTAATAAATAATGTGGCTATTTCAGTGTTCACTGAAAAAGGTTTTGACAAATAATAGTCAAGTCTGAGCCAAGGGCTATGAGTTATCCGAGTTATACATTTTTTATGTTTGCAGATGTGATTCCGAGTGATCCAGCAAAAGACAGAGAACAACCTATCGCCAAACAGAAGTGTTTATGGAAATGTATACACATATGTGAAGAGGCACTGTCTTCCGTCTCATGAAGGTAAATGTTTCTGCACATATCTGACAAATGCTACAGTTGAAGTTACTCCCACGCTGGGATTATGTTGTCTTCTCATTTGTTGGATGTTAGGGACTCCGTTCTTATCAACTCATTATTTTTGCGTGGATGGATTTCTGCACAGCAAA